GTGGCCTGCTCGGGGCTGCCACCAGGTACGGGGACACTGGGGACATCCAGGGACATCCAGGGGCATCCAGGGACATTGGGGACATCCAGGATGTTGGGGGGACCCGGGGGACCCAGGTGACACTGAGGTGACCCAGGTGACCCGCGTTACCCTGGGGTGACCCTGTCCCTGTCCCCAGAGGTCTGTGCGGTGGTGGATCTCTATGGTCAGTGTGTCCAGGTGACACTGAGGTGACCCAGGTGACACTGAGATGACCCTGAGGTCACACAGGTGACCCTGAGGTGATTCAGGTGACACAGGTAACACTGAGGTGACACTGAGATGACCCAGGTGACCCAGGTGACACTGAGGTGACCCAGGTGACCCAGGTGTCCCTGTCCCCAGAGGTCTGTGCCATGGTGGATCCCTATGGTCAGTGTGTCCAGGTGACCCTGAGGTGACCCAGGTGACCCTGTCCCTGTCCCCAGAGGTCTATGCCGTGGTGGATCTCTATGGTCAGTGTGTCCAGGTGACACTGAGGTGACCCTGAGGTGACACTGAGGTGACAGGTGACACAGGTGACCCTGTCCCTGTCCCCAGAGGTCTATGCCGTGGTGGATTTCTATGGTCAGTGTGTCCAGGTGACACTGGGGTGACACTGAGGTGACACTGAGGTGCCCCTGTCCGTGTCCCCAGAGGTCTATGCGGTGGTGGATCTCTATGGTCAGTGTGTCCAGGTGACACTGAGGTGACCCAGGTGACCCAGGTGACACTGAGGTGCCCCAGGTGATCCAGGTGTCCCTGTCCCCAGAGGTCTGTGCCGTGGTGGATCTCTGTGGTCAGTGTGTCCAGGTGACACTGAGGTGACCCAGGTGACCCTGAGGTGACCCAGGTGACACAGGTGACCCAGGTGACACTGAGGTGACACTGAGGTGACCCAGGTGACCCTGAGGTGACCCTGAGGTGACCCTGTCCCTGTCCCCAGAGGTCTATGCGGTGGTGGATCTCTATGGTCAGTGTGTCCAGGTGTCCCTGACCGGTGCCACCGGCCCCGCTGACAACAGCCTGGCCCCCGGAGCCCCCCCGGAGAAGGCCTGTCCACCCCCCTCCCCAGGTGGGCACTGGGGGGCACTGGGAGGGAGTGGGAGGGATTGGGAGGGACTGGGAGGGGACTGGGAGGGAGTGGGAGGGACTGGGAGGGGAGTGGGAGGGTGCTGGGGGGCACTGGGGGGGCATTGGGAGGGGACTGGGAGGGCACTGGGAGGCACTGGAAGGGCACTGGGAACAACTTGGGAAGGGGAGTGGAGGGGTGCTGGGGTTCACTGGAACGGGACTGGGGGTCACTGGGAGGTGCTGGCTCCACCCCTGGCCACACCCCTATTTCCATGACCACGTCCCTTTCCCTACAATCCCCACTCCCACCAGCAATTCCAGGGGGGTCTGTGTGGGATCAGAGGGGCTTTGGGGTCCCAGGGGGGTCTGTGTGGGATCAGAGGGGCTTTGGGGTCCTGGGGGGAGTCTGTGCTGGGCTTTGGGGTCCCATAACCCCCTCCTGACCCCCCCTGACCCACCGTGTCCCCCCCCCTTTAGCCCCCGGGCCATGCCAGGGGTCCCAGGGGGGGTC